CCCTCTAGCTTCCAACCACAGCCTAAAGCAGCTCCTGAACCCAAAAATCGTTAGCAACTCGGACCTGAACCGTGCGAGTGGACATGGATTTTTTGAAAAACGTCCATTCGAGCAACCGGACTTGAACCGCAATTGTATATGCGAATGAACGTGGATTTTTTGGAAAACGACCGTTCGGGCAATGAACCTGAACCGCCAATTATACATGCAAATGAACGTGCATTTTTTGAAAAACGACCGTTCGGGCAATACTTCTTGCATATTTTCAAAAATTCGTTCTCAGCTTGGACCTTAACCGCAATCGCTGAACCGCCTATTATACATGCAAATGAACGTGCATTTTTTGAAAAACGACCGTTCGGGCAATACTTCTTGCATATTTTCAAAAATTCGTTCTCAGCTTGGACCTTAACCGCAATCGTTCAATTTTTCAATGAACTAAAAATTTGCATATTTTCAAAAATTCGTTCGCAGCTCGGACTTTAACCACAATCGTATATGTAAATGAACGTGCATTTTTTGACAAACGACCGCTCGAGCAATACTTCCACTTTCTAGTGAACTGAGAATTTGCATTTTTTCAAAAAATTTGCATTTGTCATTTTTTTCACAAAGCGAGCATTTACCGAAAAACGACCGGCATTTCAAGAAAAAATTTATCATTTTTTCACAAAGCGAGCATTTACCGAAAAAACGACCGGACTTCGTGCAAAAAACCGGTAATCATGCACCTGAATGTGCACCACCTTCATCCCAACTGTAATGCACTACCTTTATCCCAATTGATGCTCTTCCTTCTGCATGCTGGTAGGGATCAAAATACGGCCAATTTTAGTCCAAGTGTTAGGCTTCAGCGTAGGGATCATTCCTGCTAATAACGATCTGCGAGTTTAGTGCAAAAACGCATGATCGCACCAGAGAGCCTGGTGCGTTCCAGTCTGAGTTTGTTGAAGTGGTGACGTTATTCTGTGGAACTTTTAGAGTGAAATATCCTGAATTGGTCTGATTACTCTAGTGATATTGCAGTAAAGTGGAGTTCACGCCGACTGTCCGAGCAGTCTTCGAACCTTTGTAGCTTCATGAACATTGAACGGCTGCATTCGTATCTGTTATCACGCACTGCTTCAGTTACGAATTTTACGAGGAGGCAATAAGGCACAAATAGAAGCATAAATTGATGAGCCGTTGATAAATTCTTTTTTTTTTGAAATGTTTCATTCAAACCTGACTGGAGTCTAGAAAATGATCAGCTTTTTCAGAGCGCAATTTTACTGTTTTCTCGTTGCTCAACCTTGATGCGCCATATATGCGGCAGCCGACGACAAATCGTGAAGAAAACGAAGTACGCGGATGTTGTTGCAATCGTAGAGTCGGCATCGAATCTGCTCAGTTAACTGTTTCTGATATGGGGCTTCTTCCTGGTACGTATTCATTCCGGAAATTTTGTAGTATCTCGGATAGGACATAATAAACTAGTACAGAATTAGTCTCGGTAAACTTTCGGTACTTATTTACTGCAGGTGAAACAGCAAAAATAACGTTGGTCGTTGAGGATGGTGCGAAAAAGAGACCGAGGAAATCACGGAAGAATCGAAACGATTGTGTGTTACTGTCACTGTGCCAGCAGCTCGACTTCTTATCCCAGAACCGCTACGAGTTGCACTTGTTCGACAGGAAGTCACTCACAATCGCCGTTGAAACGGTGGTATGTATCATTTCACCACTCAATGAAGATAGTGCGCGATTTTACTGTTGCGATAGCAAACCCATCCAAACATAAATTGGTGACTTTTGAGAGCGTGTAATTTGAGAAATGAGTTGTCCATCATGCTGAATACGGCCTGTACACCGAGTTCCTTCGCAGTTTGAGATCACTGCCCTTCGAATTCCGCTCATGAAATCATGAAAGAAACCTTCGTAAATTGCATGAGTATGATTTTTTGGTGTCGCTCACCTAAAATTCTGTCTAAGTATTAAATTTGAGCTAGATGCAAGCAACCGAAAGCAGTCTTTTCATTGACTTGCCTAAGTATGTCCTATTCTTACCTCAATAATTTCAGCGTGACCTCAGAACTATTTATAAAGTTGTTGTTTGTTCCTTTTCTTTCCTCGTGTGTTCTGCTGATTGGATTTGATTGCCTGAAAGCAAACGGAGCAAATCGGAAGTACCTTCTTGGACTCTAGGATAGCTGGAAAGAGTGAGCACTTCCTGGCAAATTTCCCAGAACAAATTGAAGAAACTTATCTATTTCTACATAGGGCAGATGCTGGAGATGGTTTATCAGAAGTGAAAAGGATAACAGTGAAAGACCTCGACAGGGCTCTCGTTAGCTGTTCAGTTACTTCACTTGCATCAAGAATGCTCATCCTTTTCTGCATTAGCAGCACATACCAGTGTCAGGAGCAAGCTACATTACGCAAGAATGCTACTTGTGAATGTGAAGTGTTTTCAGGGGACGTGTAGGGCAACACCAGGTGCAGGTCCAGAGACGAGATGTATTGATTTTCAAGTACCGAATGGCTTGCAGCCAACTTCAGTTAAAGCAAATGGCCTTATTACGATCAGTTACTTTTTCCGACTGGATATGCATCATTTTGATGTTATTGTGCCAGTGATTATTGGATCGGTGAAAACACCGGGTCCAATTGATGACTGAGGACAACCTCTGTAATTGTGCCCGAAGACTAAATGATTCGTCTGATTTTCAGCGCATACTGAGTAACGTGGCAAGATATTTCAGGACAGCTAATAAGATTTACATCGCTTTGATTCTTATTTCTAGGCAATCATCTGAAAAATGTCTTCAGATTAATTACAAAGTAGGTGTGCCCGGCGTGCTAGATCACTTCAGGCACATTACTAACATCAAATCTTCACGCCAGTTGCCCGGCATTCTTAGATTATCAAGACGAGCAGTGTGATTCAGGTGATTGGTCTGCTTGAATAGATTAATAGCGCAGTGGCGGTAAAGAGGAGTTTGTATCAATGCTTGAGTAGTACACAGAAAGGGAATGAGGTGAGCATCCATCATTCTTGATGTAGTGAATTTTTCAGTTAATAAGTTTTTTGTTAACGTTTATTTTACAATTAATTTAAAGACATTTCTGGATGGACCTGTAAAATTCTTGTTAAAAACATCAGGAGTAGGCCAAATTGCATTTGTCTTTTCTCTGAGGATAGTATCTGTGCTTGAATAGCATTGTACGGGAGAAGGTAGTGTCCGATCAGTAAAAGTTCTCTGCCTGATTTCAAAAACAGGCTGGATGTTTGTGAATGACGAATTTTGGACTCGCATTCTTAGAGCAGTAATTTTTCTTAATTGTCTGACCATGATACTGCAGGGCTTCACCGACTTACACTAGCTCTGGACATCCGGCTTCTCATTGTCGCAGAGGATTCGCACATTTGATGTTTGAGTTTTGCTTCGGTTTTTATTGGCTGTTCCTTGGTCCTTTCACAGCAAATTTCCCTCATTTAGGCCACTTTTTTGTCATTTTCTTTTGACTTTCAAAATGTATTTTATTGTACAAAATGTTGCAAACTACTGTCGAAAGAGTGCATATTCAAGAATTGTCCTATTCTAACGTTTCGTCGTGGTACTCAAAAAACGCTTGTGCATTGCATGAAAGTTTTGATAATAGTAGTTTTATGCAAAAATAGTGTTTGGGATTCATCAAAATTTGTTACATTAACTTTAATGTAGTCGTGACGTCTGTTAAGTTTTTTGACAAAATTTAAAAATCTTTTTGTGCTGATGAAAGCATTCTGCTGTTGTTAAACAGTGCGTTTTGGCTCGTAATCCTCATGTGCATGATTTGATCCTTGAAGCGAATACAACTTTTACAAAAGGTGAGCAGTAAAAAAATCCATTGTGCAGACCAGACCTGTGAGACTGATCAAGCGAAAGCCCAAGCACCCTCCGTATTTGCTGGATTGGCCACTATTTGTTCAAAAACTCAGTCTATAATAAAATATCACGTTTTCATTTTGATCGCCTTCTTGGAAATAGCTTTTCAAGTGCTCCTGGATTCATTCTTGCTCCCAGTTTTGCCATTCTTGGATTGTTTTCGGCAGTTTCTTTGGATCGCTCACTGTGAATTTTGCAATAATTTGTAATTTTGCAAGAATTTTTTATACACAACCTCTCAGTGAGATTAGCAAGACCAGTCACAATTCCTAAAATGTTGTTTTGCAGAGGCATTGTTCTCATGAATTTCAAAAAATATTTCTTAAATTTTACTAATACTATGCAAACTATCATTCACTTAATCATAAGTGTGCGTGTGTGCGTGCGTATGATTGAAACTTGCTGTAATAAATTAGAGCCTCTGTTCATTTGCATTGCCAAGGGCCATACAATAACTGGACAATTCCAGGACTGAAAAGAAAAATTTGAAAATTTAAAGTAGCAAGTGCACAGTACACAATTAAGAACGGATGGGAGGCAGTGCAGAAGACTGGAGGATGAGACAACGAGAAATTGAGATGGCGAAGATTTAAGTGATCTGGCAGTGGCTTGTCTGGTTGTGCGTTTTCCATATGTGCAAGCGAAACCCAGGTTGGAATGCACCGGGCGGGCCCATATGATCATGCGTTTTTGCACCGGACTTGAATTACTCGGGTTATTAACTGTATGAATGGCTGTTGCTTTATACCTACCTTTTGCGGTCACTAGCATAAATCACCATAAATTCTGCAAAGTAAATGTACAATTTTCATTTAACAGTCGTTCTTTAAAAGTAACCCAGTTGTTCAGTGAGAAATTTTTTCGTCAAGACTTTTAAATGCCCGTACGCAAGAGCCACACATACCTCAAGGCTGAATTTGAAATACTTGATTTGTACCTGGACATGGAACATTCCCTCAAAATTTCAGCTTTCCAGCTTTTCTAGTTACCGAGTTAGCAATTTTCCCGCTATAACCTTCACATACCCGTACTTGAGTACTCCACGTGCTTGGAAAGCTAAATTTGAAGTTTTTGAATTGCACGTGGACAGGGAACATTTACCTAAAATTTCAGCCTTCCAGCTGTTCTGGTTGCCGAGTTAGCAATTTCTCCCCTTAAAACTTTCATACGCCCTTACTTGAGTACCACGCATATCTGGGGGCTGAATTTGAAATATTTGAGTTGTGCTTGGATAAGGGACATTTTCCCAAAATTTCAGCTTGCTAACTTTCCTGGTACCGAGTTAGCAATTTCGCCCCTAAAACTTTCATACGCACCTACGTCAGTATCACGCATACCTGGGGGTTGAATTTGAAATCTTTAAATAGTACATGCACAGGGAATATCCCCAAAAAGTTTCAGCCCCTTAGCTCATGTAGTTCCCCAGATCGCTTTCCTGCCAAAAAATTTGCATATCTTTTTAAAGCGTCCGTACGCGGCACCCAAGCGTCTGCGGAGGATGAAATTAAAACGGGAGGGTCGCGCATGGTATAGGCACATAACCCCAATGTTTCAGCCTTCTAGCTTTTCTGGTTCTCCAGTTGAAAGTGGGTGACAAAAAGTGCGAACACAAAGACACACGCACACAGCCCCTTCCCAATATGCGTTGTTGCAATTTGCATATATGCAAAAATGCATAAAAACGCATGTTGTGACGATCCTCGTGTGTGTGTGTATGTGTGTGTATGTGTGTGTGTGCGTATGTGTGTGTGCATGTGTGTGTGTTTGTCTGTTCAGGTATTTTAACTCGGCTACCAAGCAAGCACTGGCGCCAAAATTTTGCTAGTGGGTTCCCCGGCCAAATGTCGACGCAGGACCGCGGTACTAACCCTCATGCACGCCTCCGCCCCGCGTACGAGTGGGTGAAAATTTTGGTGAGAAAATCGCTAACTCGGGAACCAGGAAAGCTGGGAGGCTGAAATTTTAAGGGGATGTTCCCAGTCCATGTTCAAATTAAAGATTTTAAATTCAGCTCCCATGGGTGCGTGGTCCCACGTACGGCTCCGTGAAAATTTTTGGCGGGAAAATTGGTAAATGGAGACCACCTAAGCTAGAAAGCTGATATTTTGAGGGGATGTTCCCTGACCAAGTACCACGTAGTTGCGCAATTAACCTTCTGGACAATGAGAACCAGTATCCCATAAATTGCAGCTACTGGGACTCAAAGCGAATTTACTGAAGCACCAAGTATTGCAAAAACGCATAATCGCACAGGCCCGCCTGGTGCGCGTCGCCAATGATTTTCTGAAGGAGACGTAGATGCCTGAAGCTTTACAACGAAATGCTGCTAAAATGGTGTGCCATAACCTCTGTAGGTGTAAGTATCCCATGTCCAGCGTATTCTTTATCAGCTTAAAGCTTAGAAAACACTACGGATTTCGCATGTCGAAGTTTAAATTGATAAAGCCGACCAGAAAAGACTAGTGGTTGAGAATTTGCCAGAGGGGACGTTATCTGTGCATGCGAACGCTGCCACTGCTCGAAGGAAGACGAGAGCGCAAAAACGGTTGGGCTGAGCCGGTGATCGAAACCGGGACCTCTCGCACCCAAAGCGAGAATCATACCACTAGACCACTCAGCCCCTCTGAAACGAACCTTTGCGCAGTGTACAAATAGCAGCTCTAGCTAATTCTGTAGTTACACACGAACCACTTAAAACCACAAGAGTTAAAAAGCGGAAATCCTATGTGGATATCGACCCTGTACGGAGATATGAGCGTAAAATTAAAATCTCTGTGCTCTGATCTATTAGCTGAGTGTAAACTGACAGCAAATAAAAAACTGTGAGATTTTTTACAAATAAACGCAAAAAAATAACACTAAATCGGGTCCCAAATCTTACTATACCATTCATGAATACGTCTAAGTTTTAAAATTAAAAAACCAAAAAAGCAACAAATTGGCAGTTGTGGCTAACTAATTTACTAGGTGATTCTGCAAAATAAAATTAGATTCGAATTCTCTCTGTACCTGGACAGGTCACATTGAAGTCCATATGGTACATTTTTCATTTCAGATCGGTGCTAAAAATTTTAGACTTTAGCTGATCGCATAGAATGGGCTAAACAGCTTGAGAATTCAATCCAACTTGTTTCTTGATCTATGATGACATATCTAAATACAAGTTGATAGTAAAACTCTCACACGAAGCATCCAAAGTTGTGAAAGTTTAGTGTTTTTCATGCAGACGATCGACTGAAAAAAAAAGCATCAGGGCAAAATCCTGTATGCACTGGCTCAACGAACAGTGTCCACAACAGCTTATTAATTAACCGGTGCGACTACCGTGACGTACCGCTACCTATTATGCGTTTTCGCATACATGCAAGTTGCAAAACGCATATTGCGACGACTCTGTCTGTATGTATGTGTGTGGGTGTATGTATGTGTATGTTTGTGTTCGTCTGTCCAGTTATTTCACTTCGGCAGCCAAGCAAGCTCCGGTGCCAAAATTATGTTAGTTGGTTGCCCGGCAAAGTACCACCCCAGAACCATGTGCCAAACCCTCACGCCTGTCTGGCTTCCGCGTTCGAGCGTGTGAAAATTTTGGCGGGAAAATTGCTAACTCGGGAACGAGAAAGTTAGAAGGCTGAAACTTTGAATGTTCAATACTCATGTACGACCAAAAGACTTCAAATGCTGCTCTTTAGAACTGTTCCGGAGTACGGATGCGTGAAAGTTTTGGCAGGAAAACTGCTAACTTGGGTATG